CAGCCTGCTACCCGCACAGAAGCTTCTGATGAAAATGGCCACTCTAGACACACAAAGGGCCAGTTTTGTGATACATGCCCCTTCCACCCTAACCACACCTAAAGCAAAGGCACCCATCTCTAGGCTGGATTTAAGTGACTACTGCTCTATGAGGTGGCCTGGCTCGGGAATACTGCCCCCTAGGGACACTGCAGGGTAAGTAGAGGCAAAATCCAGTCTGAAGGCACAAGGATTTTCTCAGTCTTGCCTTCCCTCTCCAACATTTTCTTCTGGTGAAACTGCTACTCTATCCCACCTCTTTCAAGGAAGCAGTGAGTGCCAGGCAGTTGTTTGGGGAGTCCACTGATGGGACCAGCGGTGGCTCACAGGTTCCCTGGACCCCCAAATGGCCTCTGGGAAGAGTAGGCCCAGTGAGGTGATTAGTTCACCAGTTGTGAATAGGTCAGTCTGTCTGAATGCTCTCTCCAGGAGTCTGGCCTGGGGCCAACCAGAGCAACTGGCAGGTGAAAGGGGAGGAGGATGAAGTGTGTGGAGGGTTGCCCCTGGTGTCTGAGCTCTTCCCAGTTCCAGGCCCTGTGTCCCCATGTCAAGCCCCCAGAGAAGGATTCCTAAGATGGCCTGTGAGTGCCTGTGCTCCTTGCAACAAAAATGCTTGTCTAGCTAATAGATTCTCTCAGGGAGTTTAAATGGGAGGCTCAGAGAGTGGGCTGGAAACAGAAGCAGAGACCATGGAAGGCTGAGTCATGGGACTAGAAGAGGCTAAGGTCAGAGCTGAAGATGCACCTCTGGAGGGCACCTCGAATGGCTGCCAGGACAGCAGAGCTACAGTTTAGACACTAATATCAAAAGGCCATGCCACCTGAGAAGGCCTGTGCTCCCCCACCATCCCAGTATATCCCCACAGTGGGATGAACAGTACCCCAATGGTTCTGTTCCTTGCAACCTGAGCAACCCAAACTTACCACTGGACTCCTGCAAAAACCCTTGGGCTGGAAGAAGAAGCTCCAACTGTGGCACTAACCCGCAGGTGGCCCAGATAAGTAACTTAGCCTCTCCCGAGCTCAATTTTCCCATCTGGAAATCGGGGAGACCATCCCAGTTTCTCCATATCGTCCCATAAGGTATGATGTTGGCAGGGGGCAGGGGTTGTATGAATAAAATGAGATCACAAATTGGAAACCACACCAAGCCTTAGCATCCAATTACACGTGATTCATCTTTTATGACCTCATCCGCATGAAAACACCAAATGGCAAATTCTTGTCTTCTTCCCTCCCTCAGGTTAATAGATTATTCAGTCATTCGGTCAACGGGTACAGAAAAAGTCCCACTTGGGTGCCTGGCCCCATTTGGATCTTGGACAACATAAGAGAAGACTTCAGCACACAGCCCTCCAAGAACACAACCGTCTTTCTGAGAAGATGAGATTCACATAAAACATAGTCACCACTGTTTTTTGGAGCATCTGCTCTATGCCAGCACTGTGCAGTGGGCTCTATACAAGACATTTTATTGACTAGATCAACCCCATCTGGTGTGTGGTATTATCCTCAGTTTGCACACGAGGACCCTGAGACCCAGGAATGCTGCTGGGGAAGTTGGTCCAACATCATGCAGTTAGTGACGCCGGAGCTGGGCTGGAGCTGCCTCTGAGGCCTGTGCTCTTTGTAGCATCCTTGGCTGCCTGTGGATGCTGTTTGAGAGGGTCTGGGTGTACCAGGAAAGGCCACCCACTGTCATTCCCTGAAGTCTGCTTTGGCCTGGCCCTGTGGTGGGCAACAGCCTCCAGAGCAGAACGTTGAGATTTTGCCCCTGAAAAACATGGTGTGGCTAGGACTACCTCTCAACCCACATCTCCTAGTGCTCCCACCAAGGGTACCCACCCCTACCCTGGCACATCTGACCCCTCACTAGTAAGAATTTCAGTTTGTCTGTGTGCATGCAGCCAACCTTTCAGAAAGAATGTGAGCTCTATGTTTAACAGGTTAAAGAGAATGAATCCCCTTCACCTTTGACCTGCCATGGTATCAGGCCCTCGGTGGTCTAAGGAACTGGGTGCAGCTCAGGGTCTTAGCAACAGAGGCCCAGTGTGAGCCCAGGGCATCTGCAGGAGTCACACAACTGCCATTTGCTGTGGTTATGTGTGTGCCAGGCTCTGTGCTGGGGTACTCACCCTGCATCTGACTTAATCTGCACGTAAATGTTATTGCTATCCAATTTTACAGGTGAGGATAAGGAGGCTCAGAGAAGTTTAGTGACTTTCCCGAGGTCACACAATGAGTAAATGATGGAGTTGGGCCTGACTCCCTATATCCCACAATAGCCTTTTGGGTAAAGATCACATTCTTTAAGACTCTTCCGCAGGATAACCTCAAACCATCAACCAAATGGGTCCCCCTCCTCACTGTACCCAAGCAGGCCTGCTCATTTCACCAACACCTGTTCACACCCCTCACCACCTGGAGCCCTACCCCTTTTCTTCCCCATCTCAAGGAACTCTAACACATAAAGGATGGGGGCAGGCAGGAGAGCAAGGTGTCTCAGAAAACAAGAAAGCAGAGACCCATGAGCACAGGAAGAGGCAACTTCTCCTCAGGACCTGTGGGTTTCTCTCCCCTGCTGCACGCTAGTGTGGGCAGACACTCAGCATGAGTCAATTGACTTGAATGCCACAGACTGTGCATTACCTTGGGCAAAATGCAGTCCCACTGAGCTCCGGCCTCATCCCGCCTGGAAGAGGTGGGCTGTAGATGATCTCTGAGACCTCACCAGCTCTGACTCTCTTCACCTAAATGGACGCAGCTGCTGGGCCTCCCCCCCTGCCCTGCTCATGCCCTCGCTGCAGGTGCTCCCGTGCTCCGGCAGGACAGTGGCAGTGACCAACACCCTGCCCCCGCCCCACCAACCACACAACAGTCCCCTGGAAGCAGGCTTCAGGAAGGGGTCCACCCCTGGTGGGGGCTACCCAGTGGGAGGGAGTCTCAAGAGCACTGGAGTGAGGGGCAGGACCCCTGGCTTCTGGTTCTGCTCTGTCGCCTACTCTGCCGAGTGGCATCAGACATATTGGTTCTCCTCTCTCAGCCCATTTCCTCAGCTGTAAAATGGAGCTGGGGGACCTGGATAGTTTCTAAGAGTACTTCCAGTCCTAATAGTTTCTAAGAGTACTTCCACTCCTAATCAAGAAGTTAGCTGAAATGGAGGAATTCTGGGCATCGGGGGAAGGATGGAGGGAGCTTTCAACCCTTGGGCAGCAGGCCTGGGCAGCTGCATGGCCAGGCTGAGCAACACATGGAGGAGGGGCAGGGCCCTGGATGAGGAGAGGTGCCTGAGAGAGACGAGATGGGGGCAAGGGAAGGCACTGACTGGAGGAGGCTGAGTGGAAGAAAAGGAGGAGGCTGGGACAGAAAGGGAGGATGGAGAATACATAGGTCAGACAGGGGCTGGGGGTGCTCGCTGAGTCAGGTTCCCAGCTGCACACCTGGGGAGGTACGGCCGAGGGCGCAGTGACATCGCGGGGCCGCCAATAGCCAGATGTGTGAAGGTGGAGCCAGTCTAAAGCAGTTTGCTATTTTTCATAAGAAAACACATTTTGGAACCACTAACCATGGGAGGGTTAGGACCCTCTGATCTCTCTCCTGAACTCTTGTGGTACAAAACTGTAAAATCTCGCGACATCAACCAAGTAAAAGCAATACGCGTCGAGAGAAGCCTGGCAGGACCTCTTGTCAGTGAAGGAGGGAATACATATATAATGGAAGGAGACTTCTATTATATATGTAACCGCATATTTCTTAAGCTGCAGAGCAGGTACACAGGTGTTGATAATACTATTCTTATACTTTTTCATACCTTGACTTATTTTAAAGAATCTCTGTAAGGAAATTTGCCAAAATCTTAATAGTGGTCTTTGGGAGGATGGAGTTCTCACGATTGTTATTATTTCCTTTTGACATTTGGGATTTTCCAAAAGCTCTACATTGAGCAAACATGAAAAAAAAGAAAAAAACATTTTAAGATAGACTCCTCCTACTATGGCCATAATTTTAATCTTCAGTGGAAATTGAACACAGCCATTTGAGCTGTCTCATTCTCATACTCTTTTCCCTCATCGATTCACCAGCTCAGTAAATCCATCACTCTCCCTCCCTGCCTTAAAGCTAATGCTTTTCCAAAGTACATCTTTCAGTGTTCTTAGTTCCCCAAGCCCAGTACCCATTAAGCAGAGAGCGAAGACATTATTAGGCTTGTAACAAGACAAATAAGGGCTTGAGACCTAGCTTCTGTATCTACTGGTAAGTCACTTACTTAATCACCCTAAATTCTAGCTTCTCTATTTGTAAAATGTCCCCAGATTTTTGTGCGGACAAAATGAGATAATACATGTAAATCAGTCAGCATTAATCAGTGGTGCCTGAAACATAGGAAGCATATAATAAAGTGGCATCATCATCACCATCATCTCCATTTTCATCCTCATTAATGACTGGCTACCACTTCCTCTGTTCCTAAAGGAAATGCCAGGTGATTCAACATTCTACTTGACTTGATGAAAGAAATATTTCAGTCTGAACTGGGCACCAATATGGCCTTCTTCTCCTGGCAAAAGATCTGGATTCCAGTCTCAACTCCGTCAGTAATTGTGTGACATAGGCAAGTTCCTTCCCCTACCTATGCCTTAGTTTCCTCATTTGCACAATGGTAGGCTTAGACTTAGTCTGTGACTAGGGTAACCATATAATCAATCCTTTAAACCAGAATACTTTTTGAGCAAAAGGTGTGCTATCAATACTTATCTCAAAATGACAGGTTTAAGCCAGGACAATTGTGGGCACACTGGGAAGTCTGGTCATTCCACTATCAAGAGATCCATTACCTTCTTGCCCACCAGTGTGGCAGGCAGAATAATGCCCCCTCTCAAAGATGACCACTTCTTAATCCCTGGAACCTGTGCATATGTTAGATCACAAGGCAAAAGGAATTAAGGTCATAGACCCACTGACCTTGAGATGGGGAGATCTCCACAGGATCCTGATAAACTGCAGAGGGAAGTGGAGGAGTGTCGGAGTGATGCAATATAAGAAAGACTTGGCCGGCCACTGCTGGCTTCGAAGATGGAAGGGGACCACCAGCCAAGGAGTGCAGCCTCTAGGAGCCAGAAAAGGTAAAAAAAAAGGATCCTCCCGTAGAGCTCCCAGAAAAGGATGCTGACCTACCGATGCCTCAATTTTAGCCCACTGAGGCCCATTTTGAACTTCTGACCTCTAGGACTGTAAGATAATAAATGCATGTTGTTTTAAGCCACTGAGTTTGTGGTGATTTGTTACAGCAGCAAAAGGAAACCAACACAGCCAGTATGACTCAGTGGGTACCTCTGGCCAACTGCTCCACGAATACTGCCCTTGGAGTGTAAAAGAGCTAATCTAAGCTCCAGGAGAGCTCAATTCTAGTCCCTGCTCTGATATTGACTCACCCTGGAACCCTGAACAGGTCAAGTAATTCCTCTTGGTCCTCGGTTTTCTTTCTCTAAAATGGGGGTGGGGTAACATTGTCTGCCTCACCTCTTTGTTGAGGGTTGGGTGGGGATGTGAGGTCGTCCAACAATCAATGACTCGGGCTGGGGCTGGGTCACCAAGATGAACCAGACCTAGTCCCAACTCCATCCCTGCTCTTGAGAAGCTCCCATTCTGGATGGGGAAACAGACAGATGTGTAAGTAGGTAGTTAAAATACAGTGTGATGAATGTAAAGATCGGTTATTATGAGTGTACACAGAGGACTATATAGGCCCACCTGCTGGAAGGATGAATGTCAGGGAAAAGTTTTTAGAAAGTGACACCACAGCTGAGCTTTAAAGGATGAATAGGAATAGCCAAGCAAAGAGGGTAGGGAAGGAGGAAAGAACTATCCAGACAGAGGAGACAGCAAAAGCAAGACCCCGGAGACGCCAATCAGCATGGTGTTGGGAACAGAGATATAGGCAGCTAGGTGGTGTTGGCCTGGAAAGCCTGAGCATAAAGGCAATACTTATGTGGATTCTGTGGGCTGATGGATGAAGGTATGGTGTGAGCACAAGGCTGTATTATTGGCCTGTGTGTCCGCCAGACCAGTGCTGGGTCAGGAGATGGTCTCTAATGTGCAGTTCCTCTTGACCTGGCTTGAAGTGATCTCTTCTGGTTGTTTCCTCCTCACATTCCCCCCAGACATGTGCCAAAGGCCTGACAGCTACCCCAGCCTACTGAAGGGGATGGGGCCGTGCAAAATTACAGCCACTGCAAAGAGGCTGGCCTGACCTCAGGAGCTGGGTTTCATCATTCTGAAATCATGCTCCTGACCGTAGTCAGAGCCAGAGAGGTGGAGAGGACAGGGTCGGAAAGCAGAGCGGGTGGCAGGAGGTTTGGGCAAGGTGCCGAGGCTGGAGGAGAAAGCAGCTGGGACCAGCAGGGGGTGAGACTCCCGAAAGGAGGCCATCCATCGTGCTGTGTGACCTCAGGCCACATCTTTGCCCATTCTAGGTTTCCCTGGTGCCATTCCCGGGGCTGGCCCCCCCTGGAGCCTCCTTGTGGAGGGCAACAACCTTAGGGCTCTCAGGCCATTCCTGTGGATGGGGCCCTTCTGGGTGAGCAGGAGCCCAGGCCAGGCCTGCTGCGGTCTGAGGCTGGCTCCAGCAGTCGGCTGTCCAAAGCATCCACACTTCGAGGAGAGCCATGAGAAGCTGAAGGGCCCCTGTCGGGGTCAGACCTGTAAAGACAGCTCTAAGCTGTGGACAGCCTAGCCCACATTGCTCAGATGCGCTTCCCATGTGCATTCTGCATCCTTGTCCAGTTCTTTTAAGCAGTAGTTACTGGTTAAGGCTGTGCTTATCATTTGCTTGTAATGCCATTACTAAGTACCACAGACTGGGTGGCTTAAACAGAACTTTCTTTTCTCACAATTCTGGAGGCTAGAAATCCAGGATCAAGGTGTCGGCAGGATTGGTGTCTTCTGAGGCATCTCTGTCTTGTAGATGGCCCTCTTCTCTCTTTGACATCACAGTGGTCTTCCCTCTGTCTATGTCCTAATCGCTTCTTATAACACTAGTCATACTGAATAAGGCCTACCCCATTGACTTCACTGAACTTAATTACCTCTTTAAAGACTCCTATCTCCAAATATAGTCACATTCTGAGGTATTGGGGGTAGGACAAATGAATTTTGAGAGGGACACAAGTCAGCCCATAACACTGGGCTTTGGGATCACCAATAGAGCTTTTCTAAATATAGATGTCTCCCCCTTCCCCCCACCCCCCTGGGATTCTGAGTGTAAGCTCCATGAGGGCAGGGCAGGAGCTTTGCCAATTGCCATATCCCTGACTAGGGACCCAGCTCTGTGCCCAGCAGACGGAATGTGTTCAGTGAGTATTTGTGGAATAAAGGGATGATTTAGTAAGTTGGGACGGGACCCATGTGTTTGTCATGTAGAAAATTCCATGATTGATTGAGTCATCTAGTGATGAAATCCCAGGAATATGATTGGGTTTCATTCTTCCTGTTGCTCGATGGAAGCCTAAGGTTCAGCAAGGAAAAGAAATACCAGGTCTGGAACTCCACAAGTAATGTGGGCCCTTTGGACCTGCCCAGCACCTCTCCAGGAGGCCAAGTTGGACTTGATACCATTCTTTGCCTTTATTTAACTGTTTATCTAGCTGTTCATCTGTAATCTTTATAATATCCTTTATAATAAACTGGTACATGAAAGTAAATGTGAGTTCTAGCAGATTTATTGAGCCTGAGGAGGAGTTTGTGGAGGCTCCAATCTATAGCGGGTCAGAAGCACAGATGGAGGCTGTTTTGTGGGACTGAGCCCTTAACCTGTGAGATCTGATGCTATCTCTAGGTAGCTAGCATCAGAATGGAGTTAATTGGTAGTGTTAGAAAACATACGTCAGACCTGCCTTCAGCATCCTTCACATGCGGCCTCTGCTGACCCCCCAGCCTTACCCCAGCACAACCAGTGATTTAAGCCACAGGAAATACAGCATTGTCCCCTGACTCTGTCATTGCACTTACCCACACCTTCCTGTGGGCTTCCCAGGATGCACCTCCCCAGTTTGCCCCTTAGGAAATGTCTCCTTGAACTCCATTTGAGTTTAAGGCCTTTTGTGACTGGCCTAGGCTGCAGGATAGAGGGGCATCCTCTGGGCCCCTACAATCCCATGCTTCCCTCTATCATATGTTGATTACACTAGTGGCAAATGTCCATCCTGATGCCTTCCCCACCAGACTGGGAGCACTCAAGGGCAGGGCTGAGTTGCTAAGTACTTTCTGTGTCCTGATGCCCTCACAGGCTGAGGACCAAGTCTAAGTCCTCAGCAAGGTTTTGGGGAGAGAAGGGTGTTGAGGGAAAGAACAAATGCTCTGGGAGGTAGCGTAAGGAGGGAAAAGAGATGCTCCAACACAGGGTGTCAAAGGGAGAATCATTTTTCAAAAGGTGACGTTCGTTCTATACCTTTTCATACCTTTAGTGGCAGACTGGACATGGTGTTGCAGCCCCTGGCCTGTCCTTCACCTCCCTATGTCCCAGCCCCATGGTCCAGGGAGCACCTCTGAGGTGGCTCAGGGCAGCCGTGAGCTCTTGGAGCTGGCCAGCACAGAGCAGAGGCAGGCAAGCAGAATCTTACCCTCCAGCAGACCTCAGGCTGGCCAGGAAGCTCAGAGAAGTGAGAGGGCAGTGGCCCCAAGGGGTAAAAACTCGAAAATACCAGTAATGGGGAAAGGAGAGGAGAGGTGAGGGGGACAGTTGGGAGGCCAGAACCTGCATTTCTATTCTCAGCATACCATTGTTAGACCTCAGAGAAACTCCCCTGATGTGACCTTTCAGCAAGCTCCTGCCTCTCTGTTTCTTCAATTGAAAATGGGGGTGGACAGGCTGGACTAGATGGTCACTAAGGTCCTCTCAGCCCTGGCCAAGATTTGAGAGAAGTGTGGCTGTCTTAAAGGTGCTCTTTGAGAAGACTGTCTCTAGGCGGGCTCCCAAATTTCAGAGGCTCACATCTAGCCAGGTACTGGGGAGATGTGTCTCTCGGCCTGGGAAGAACTGGAAGCAGCTTCCCTAAGCCTCCTGAGCTGGACCTTGTCCTGTAGTTCTGGCAGGCCCATTCGGCCTTCAGCTGTAATGAGGCTGGCCACCTGGGGAGCCACAGAAACCCTGCCTGGCCTATTTTGTGATGAAGCCATGGTCACTTCTCTGCTTAACTCTGAGGTGATGCTCCTCAATGTGGCCTGGCGACTGGGCAGCACCCTTCATGGGTCACCTGGGATTCTAAGGAGTACATCTGGCTGGGCAGGGCCTGAATGGAAGTTCCAAGCCGCAGGGGCCCAGGGCCCAGGTCTCTGGCCATGTGGACAATCTCTGTTGGCCCCACACTCCCTGGATCCCACCCTGCCAGGACAGGGCCTGCTGTCCTGGGCCCATGCCTGCAGCCATTCCCTGGGCCATGATTTCAGATTCAATTGGTGAAGACAGGCCTCCTGGGATGAGCCAATTGGCCCTTCTCTGTTATTTGCTTCTCAAAGTTGGAAAAACTATGCTGTACACCTGGCAGTACTTGCTGCTGGTGGTTTTTTTCTTTTCTTAAGAAACAGAAAGTAACCCCTATGCTTACTGCAACCAAATCCATTTTATTGGCCTGCTGCACCTCCCACAGCAATAATAATGTCCCCTTATATTTGATGAGTCTTATAGTTTACAAAGCACTTTCTTATGCATTCTCCTTTTTGGTCCATGCAACACTTTTGGGAGGGAGAGAGGACTGGCGTTATTTTTCCTGATTGCAGGTGAGGAGACTGAGCCTCCGACAGTAAGAACAGCTGCCTAAGGTCACACAGCAAGATGGAGCTGAAGCAAAGAACTTGGGTCCTCTGACTGAAGTCCTCAGTTCTTTGCACCACATAAGTCCTCATGTCGCTTGAATGCTCAAGTCTCAGACACCCTCTTCCAAAAACAAGAGATGGCAGGAGGCTCTATTGCTGTACTACCCAGCCCACTTTCAACTCCTTTTTATTTCTGAACTTTTTGCCTTGGTGAAATTAACCATTGCCCCATCTCAACAATCACTTCTAAGCCAATGACACTTACATCTGTGATTCCCTCCGGGACATGAAATCTTC